AAGAATGAGAGAGGGGGGAGGAGGAAATGTAGAAAAGAAAGAAAAAGGAAAAGGAGAAACAGAAAGAAAAAAAGAACCTCCATCTCAGCAGGTTAAAAACAATTTCAATAGCTTATCACCGTCTCTAAATAAAACATAATCACTCTTCTCCCCTTTACTTATTTCTTAGGTAAAAAAAACCAAAATCCAAATACTTCATCAATCATTCTTTGTCAGCAAAAGTCCAGTAATGGCCACCAGATACAACTGTTTTCCTCTTTTAGCCCTGATCAAACAAGCCAACCTTATAAACCTTCCCTGAATTTTTAAAATTACTCTTTAACCCCTTCCAAAAAAGTCCCAGAGGTAGTTTGCTAGTCATCTGGGTATCCAAGCAAAAAGCCTTCAGAACTTTAACAGACTTCTTTTGCATGCCCATTAGATAAAGTTTCTCCTTTCGTTTGTCACTTCTGAAAAAGTCTTTCCAAACCTTAGCAGACCTCTTTTGTATATCCAGAAGAAAAAAATTATCCAAATCAGTTTCCCGCTTTAGTATCTGTTCATCTCCTTTAGGGGATAAGTCATACATCAAATCCATTTGTATTACATTTAAATCCTCCCTCAAATTAATTTCATAGACATCCATTGCAACTTGTTCTTGTTTTACAACTCCATTAAAGTATGTTCTGTCCAGTTCCTCAAACAATTGATCCATTCTATCCAGTAACTTGGCTGAGAGGTCTCTATTCAAAAGTTTCTGCTCCATTCTTTTTGGTCCTCTGGCTCCCTGTAATGTCCAGCCTTCGAGGTCTCCTTATCATAAAGATAGCAAAGCAATCGCCATTTTCCCATGAGAAGATATCTTCTAATTAATTCAAAACTGTAATTCCAGATCCCTCTGGCCCCTTAATCCATTATTAACTTTCCAAAATCCATATACTAAGCACCGTTTTGCTGCATAGCCCCAAAAAATCATATATTTTCAAAAAGTTTAAGACCAAATTTACACCATCGTCTTTTAAGGAGGCAGATTCACCTAATGAATACAGTAAAACCTTGCCAGTCCAAAGGGTCTTAATCTCTCCAATATACCAAAAATAAAAAAATAATCCAAAAAGGTGATTAAGACATAAGGCTCGATCGAGCTTAATGCCCATAAGGCCGCTTTGCGAGTGTGAGCTTGATGTAATCCCAACGGCCAGCCACTCCACAGGAAGACTCCCAGAGGGATTTAGTTTTCAATGGCTTTCGTATGCACAGTTAAGAGAAAGATTTAAGGTAGATAATAGGACATTTGGAAGAGCAGCAGACACCAGAATTTGAAGATGAACTGTGTACAAATGATGAACATGTAACTGCTAAAATGTATAAACTTTTACTGAAATTTGAAACAGAAGAAGAACAAAAAGACTATGATAAAATGGACTAAGAACTTTGGACCTAACATATTGGTGGAACAGTGGGAAAATATGTGGTTAAAAGGATTGAAATTTACATTATAACTTAAAGGAGAATTTTTAGAAAATGATGTACTATTGGTGTATGACTCCAGAAAATTGTCTAGAATGTATAAAGGTACTTCAGATTTATGTTGGAAATGTGGAAAACATGAAGGGCCATTTTATCATGCCTGGTGGACTTGTAAAAAAGCCAAAAAATGTTGGGTTCAAATACATGTAATGATACAAAGAATTTTAAAGATCAACATTCAACTAAAACCAGCTTTTTTTCTTTCTGGGATTAATGGGCAGTCAATTAGAAAATAGCTAAGGAACATTATTCTTATGTATGATTACTGAGACTATTATATGCACAAAAATGGACAGATACTGAAATACCCACAACGGGGGAATGGTTGGTGAAGATGACAGAACTAGCAGAGATGGCGAAATTAACTTGTTTGATCAGAGAAAGTTCAACAATTCCATTTATTAGTGACTGGAAACTCCTTATGGACTTTTTGCTGAAAAAAAGACAAAAATGAACTTGTGATTTATGGGTTTGAAGATTAGAAAGGGTAGCCTATGGAAAGAAGGAAATGATGATGTAACTTTAGAGGGGGGGGGGAAATATTTATCTATAACCACTGTTAAGAAGATCAGAAGCTGCTTCTTAATAATCTTTCTTTTCTTTCTTTC